GTTTGAGGGGGCTAGGTCTTCGGGATGTTTGGCGTGAATTCGAGGGATTGAGTGCGCGAGAAAGTCGGCTTGATGCTCAACCCTAACCTCTGAGCTCTAAACCCTAAACCCTAAACCCTAAACCCTAAACCCTAAACCCTAAACCCTAAACCCGAAACCCTAAACCCTAAACCCTAAACCCTAAACCCTAAACCCTAAACCTTAAACCCTAAACCCTAAACCCTAAACCCTAGACCCTAAACCCTAAACCCTAAACCCTAGACCCCAAACCCTAAACCCTAAACCCTAAACCCTAAACCCTAAACCCGAACCCCTGAACCCAAACACCAAACCACTCAAGGAACAAACTATACCTCTGTATCGTTCCGTGCTCAAAGGTTCTTTGGCTCACAGTCTCGTGTCGCTTCGCACAGAACCTCCAGGAACATGTCTGAGGCAGCAGGAGTTCTCCGAATTCAGTCCGGATACATCCGGAGTTCCTCTATCAAGGACCTGGCTGTTTAGGGGGGTTTAGGGTTTGGGGTTTAGACTTTAGGGCCTAGGGTGTAAAGACAAGATCCAGGAATGTCGGGGACCGGCACTTCAAGGGGGCTCTTGTGTGCCTTTCTGCTACATGATACATGGGGGTTGATCTAAAGGTCTTTCTTGGGAAATTCTTTGGGTTATTATGGGTTTATAAGTGGGACATGTAGGGGTCTTTTTATGAACAAACTTTTGATCAACTTCCACATGCATCGAGAGCCTACAGTTTACACAGCCATCCTTCCACCCGAGACCATATAAACATGTTCTCGCTCTCATTGGGGTAGTTTGGGGGGATATTGAACATGTTTACGAAGAACCCGAAACCCTAAACCCTAAACCCTGAACCCTAAACCCTAAACCCTAGACCCTAAACCTTAAACCCTAGACCGTAGGTTCCGGCTAAGCCTCAGCCGTTGACGCTGGTCGCAGGACTTGGGTCCGCTTGAGTTTACGGGCAAGCTGGCTGGAGGAGGGACGACGCATGTTTTGGGCTTTAGGGATTTCAGGGTTTCGGGGTTTCGGGGTTTCGGGGTTTAGGGTTTAGGGTTTAGGGGCATGTTTGGGCCCGGGCTTCCCTCCATCTTTCTAAGCGAAGCGTGCATGATGAAACATCCTGTATCAGCCCTAAACCCTAAACCCTTAGCCCTAAACCTAGAACCCTAAACCCCAGGCCCTAAACCACGCTACGCTGGATCATCTAGGAGCATGGAGGGTGTGTTGTTAAGGTTGCTTAGTTAATCTTGAGCCTTGAGCCGTCTGTGACTCTTACAAAGCCAAACCGTGATACTCGTACTTAGGGTTTAGGGTTTGCTTGCCCATTCTACCTGTGGCAAAAAGCACGGGCCCATGTGTGCATTCTGCTTGGTTTGCTGTAGGTCTTACCTTCTTGAGCAGCTCTTCGTTTTCTTGCCAGTGTTTTCGGGGCTTTACGACAATAAGGGGACGCCCAATATAGACCCCCCAAATATTAGGATCCCCTGACAATCAGGACCCCAATAAGGTACCCGCAAATATCGTAAACGCCCTGTCCCCTGGCTCCCGAAATAGGGGAACTGAAGTAGGGGGCCCTTAATTCGGGTCCCTTGTTATATGGCCCTTATATACACTCTACATACCCAGGGCCCATACTTCGGATCCCCTTATAGGCCCCTTTCAACAAGGGTAAGGGACCATACTAAGGGCCCATGGCTCCAACCTTAGAAGAGCACGCGCTGCACAGGTCTCCGGCTGGACTTGCGCAGGCGTGCGCCCTTGTATCTCAGCGACTGGACAGATGCGTTCAAGCCCGAGAGACTTGGACAAAACTCGCCGGTGCGAGAGATGTGGTTGTGGAGCCCAAACCCTCAACTCTTAAAAACTTCTAGGGCATGCAGGTCTCGTCATTTTTGCAAAGGGTTCGTGGAAGCTTCGTGCCATGGTCAGAGAAGGTTGGGGGCTCGGCCTTGTCGCGGAAGGTCGGGGATGCCCAGATTCCTAACCTTAAACCCTAAACCCTAAACCCTAAACCCTAAACCCTAAACCCTAAACCTTAAGCCCTAAACCCTAAACCCCTAAACCGCGAAGAGTCGCGGTTTTCGAGGAACTTCCAGAAATCGGTCTCGACGATCCTGTACCTGTTCATCGCTGCGCTTGCTCCGGCGATCACGCTGCTTGGACTCTTTTGGGGTTCAGATATACATATATATAAAAGATAGAATTGAATATATGGTGTGTACTCATCTGTAATGTTATGGTATACAACAGGCAGTCTGGAATAGGTGACACACAATCTATAATAATGCAAAACATAAAGCAACATAGTATATACTACATAACTTATGGTATGACAAAATGTAACAATGTAACCATACAAAATGTATAATGCCGTGTTCAAGGTTTGGTTTCGTAACCCTAAGCTCGAAGCTCTAAACCCTAAACCCCAAAACCCTACACCCTAAACCCTAAACCCTAAACCCTAAACCCTTAAAGGACTTCTGCAGTTTGGGAGATTGGAGGCTCCTTTAGCAGGTTCCCAGAAGCCAAGCTGGGGAGGTTCTCCTCGGTCTTAACCAGTAGGACCCCCTTGCACAACAAGGACTCCTGTACATGTACATGCTTATTTTGGCATACCATATATATATATATATACACGTAAAAGAGCAAGGATTTAGGTTTAGGTTTAGGGTTTAGGGTTTAGGTTTTAGGGTTTAGGGCTTAGGTTTTAGGGTTTAGGGTTAGGGTTTAGGGTTTAGGGTTGCGCTCCGAAGGTTTGGAAGTCGCTTCCTCGACGGAACCAACGGCCAGTTCGGAGTGCCCTGCGTTGTTGTCGTCCAGTCTGTCCTTGGAGGTTCATGGTACTTATTGACCCATTATAACTGTACTTGTAAGGGTTTAGGGTTTAGGGTTTAGGGTTAGGGTAACTGTACTTATAAGTGTACTTATAAGCATATGAGGGCACTTGAAGGGGCTAATTAGTGGGCTATAAGTACAGTTATAATTGGTGAATGAGTACCATGAACCTCCAAGTACCCTTGACCACGCCCGCCAGGGTCGTAGAGGGATATGCTAGGGTTGCCATAAAGATGGGCCATTAAGACGAGGATTTGGCACCTCTACTGAAGACCGTGCGCCTGCCCGCCGTTCATCTTTAGCGGCGAGCAGTGCATTCGTACCCTAAACCCTAACCCTAAACCCTAGACTCTAATCCCTAAACCCTAAACCCTAAGCCCTAAACCCTAAACCCTAAACCCTAAACCCTAAACCCTAAACCCTAAACCCTAAACCCTAAACCCTAAACCCTTAACCCTAAACCCTAAACCCTAAACCCTAAACCCTAAACCCTAATCTTGAAGCCTCGCTTTGAACGGAGCTCCGGATCCTTCTCTCATGTGTGGCCCGACATGCACATTCCCCGAGCAATGCGGGGCACTAAGGCACCACGTAGAACAGATGCTAAGGGGTAAAAGGAGTGTTTAGGGTTTAGGGTTTAGGGTTTAGGGTTTAGGGTTTAGGGTTTAGGGTTTAGGGTTTAGGGTAACCCTAACCCTGGAGTAGAAGGGACCTTCATCTTCTTCCCCTATAGGACCCTTTTTTTATGCCTTCTAATTATCGTCCCTACCTACCTGAGTGGGCCCCAAATACCCGTAAATAATCCCTAAAGCCCCTGAAAAGGGTCCCTCTAGTCCCTGGCACATGCTTCTTCGAAGCCTACCGAAAGAGACTCCCAGCCACCAGAAACCCTAAACCCTAAACCCTAAACCCTACACCTTAAACCCCATACCCTAAACCCTAAACCCTAAACCTTAAACCCAGGTGCTGGAAATGATTATGTCCACCTGCCTCAGCGGCATGCTCTTCTCCACGCTTCTTGCTCGAAGAGTGCACCGCAGCGCTTAGGGCTCATTTCGAAACCCTATAAACCTACTTCCTTCACCCTAAACCTAAACCCAAAGCCCTGAATTCCTAAATCCGAAACCCTAAGCCCTAACCCTAAACCCTGAACCCTAAACCCTAAACCCTAAACCCTAAACTCTAAACCCTAAACCCTAAACCCTAAACCCTAAACCCTCAGCTCTGAACTCTTACACCATGAGTTAACCTCAGGTTCGCCGGCCAGCCGCTCTCCATCCTTGGGGCAACCGGGCCGTCCTGAGCTTACCAAGGGTTTCGGTCTTGGTTTAGGGTTTAGGAACCCGGAACCCTAAACCCCAAACCCTAAACCCTAAACCCTAAACCCTAAACCCTAAACCCTAAGCCCGAAACCGTAAACCCTAAACCCGACTACATCCTTGCTTAAGGCACGGCATGTTCCCTGTGTGCCGTTCTTGTTGGGAAGCAGTTGCTGAGCAGCCCTTCGAAACATCAAGACCCGAAGCCGCGCCAAGCCCATCGTGCAATCAGCCCTAAGCCCCGAAACCCTTCATCCTAAACCTTAAACACCAAACCCTGAATCTTAAACCCCTAAACCCCAAAACCCTACGCCCTAAACCCTAAGCTCGATAGATTGTGGTAGCTTGGCCGTAGTCTAGGTTCCCTTACCAGCCAGTCACAGGTTCTTGGCTTGGCCTATCCTAAACCCTAAACCCTAAACCCGACACCCTAAACCCTAAACCCTAAACCCTGCACTCTAAACTCTAAACCCTTAGCCCTAAACCCTAAACCCAGTCACAGGTTCTTGGCGTACAGCCTGGTGTGCTACGACCTGGCCGTGGCCGCAGCTTGCCAGCCCACGGGTTCGGGTTTAGGGTTTAGGGTTTAGGGTTTAGGGTTTAGGGTTTCAGGTTTCAGGGTTTAGGGTTCAGGGTTTAACACTTGTGGCAGTGCTAGCTTCGGTAGCTATGAAGCAAAGCCGCTGGCAGAGGAGACGAGCAGGGCACCTAAGCTCACCGCAGCCCAAACCCAACGTCCATCAGAGGCTAAACCCTAAACCCCTAAACCCTAACCCTAAACCCTAAACCCTAAACCCTCAACCGTGAACCCTGAACCCTAAACCTCAGATGGACTTGGAGTTCATGCCCTACTACTTCTGGGTCTGCATGTGGTGCTCCTTGTTTACCATCCTGGTGTCGATCTTCGACCTCTGTGCCCTCATGAAGCATGTGACCATGTTCAGCGAGGACGCCGGGTTTGTGGCCTTTTAGGGTTTAGGGTTTAGGTTTTAGGGTTTAGGGTTTAGGGTTATAGGGTTCACCCTAAACCCTACAGCCTAAACCAGCTGGGTGCAGGTTAAGGGATTCAACGGTTTCTTGCTTCGTGTTCGCACATTCGGGCTGAAGGGCTTAGTTCGGGTCAGATGTGGCTGGAAGATATCATGACTGGATGGTTTAGTGGCCAGCAAGCACAGAAAGCGCGGAGAGGGCACTGTTGTTGTGGCACAATTCTGCTTGTTAGCGTAAAGAAGTTTTGAGGACGTCTTTGCTGGGCTCATTTCCCTCATCTTCATCATTGACGGAGTTCTGCCAATCATCCGCAACTTCACGGACAACCAGATGACCTTGACGGCCGCTATGTTCGAGACGCTGCTCTTCGTCTACACTTTCGGTGGCGAGGCTGCACTAGACACCCCCAGCTGGAGGCCCCAGAGCTCACCACTGAACCCCAAAACATTACATAAGCCCTTGAGAACGAAGTGCCCAACTCCTTGTGCCTCAGACTTGCGAACTTTGAATTAATATGCATTTCGAATACCTCTTTCTATCTCGAACCTTTTGGCGACAGGCAGCATATGAACCATAATAATTGTACCACTATTACTACCAATAGGAGTACTAACAAGAATCATAAGAGCCTGATCCAACCCTTGAGCCCCCCAAGTCTCAATCCAGCGCTGCCGCCGAGGCCTCGCCTCGTACCTGTCGTACTTCCGTCGCACCCCGTGGCTCATCCGGGCCCTCCGTGGCTGGGATGGTCTTGAGAGCTTCGTGTGTTGTTTTTTTGTTTTTTTTTGGTTTTTTTTTGGTTTTTTTTGGTTTTTTTTAAATAAGATTTGGGTTGAGGGCTTGGCAAGCATTGAGAAGCAAGTAAGAATGCTAATGCTGGTTTAAAGAAAGTAGTAAGAAATGGTTCCGCCGAACGGAGATAGGGACGGGGGACCTTCGCACCTGGCCTTTTTAGAAACCTCGAGGCAACCTCATGGCCAACTTCGCGGTGACCATCGCGCTGGTGTCGGCATCCGCCCTGGCAGCCATCTACTCCAGCGACACGAACCTGCGCATGCTCACCGTGGATGCCGAGCTCTCACCGTCCCTGACACTGGCCACGGGCGAGAAGCGCAACTGGATCGTGAACCCCATGGGCATCGAGAAGGACTTCCCCTTGTGGGGCATCCCGTGCCTTTGTGGCGAACTAGAAGTCCCCCCCCATCTTTGCTTGACTAGGTGGGCATTTCTCAAAAATAGGGGTACCCCCTTTATAGCCCAAATAGAAGGAGAAGCCCCTTAAAGGGATCCCCCAAAACAGGGACCCCTTTCTGCGGAAGCTCGAGGTTTAGGTTCTCGGGATATTTGATCTTGTCTTATTGGGTTTAAGAGGATGGTGTTTAGGATTGCCCTAAACCCTAAACCCTAAACCCTAAACCCTAAACCCTAAACCCTAAACCCTAAACCCTAAACCCTAAACCCTAAACCCTAAACCCTAAACCCTAAACCCTAAACCCGAAACCCCTAAACCCTAAACCCTAAACCCTAAACCCCTAAACCCTCAACCCTAAACCCTAAACCCTAAACCCTAAACCCTAAACCCTAAATTGTCTTTTCAGAGGGCTTTAAGGGCCATCCTCGTTCATGATGCACCAGCATGCCTTACTGGGAAGTTAAAGAAGCCCACCACGGCACAGTGGCTTCATTGCCTTCACGAAGGTATGCAAGATTGTGCAAGTGTGGTGGTTTTCAGCTTAACCCTGAGCCCTAAACCCTACACCCTACACCCTAAACCCTAAACCCTAAACCCCAAAGGTACGCCATTCTTCCAGCGATCGGGTTCGCAGTGCTGGGCTACCTGGACCAGAGTCTCCGCGCAATCAGCCACATGTGCACGTCACACCAAAAGACGTGGGAAGGTTTAGGGTTTAGGGTTTAGGGTTTAGGGTCAGGGTTTAGGGTTTAGGGTTTAGGGTTTGGGGGGTAGGGTCTAGGGTTTCGGGTTTACTAGTATTTGAAATAGAAACCACAACTAATAAAGATTGTAATCCTGCCCCTAGAAGTAAAATCATTTTGATTTGTTGGGGCTACTTGAGCAAAATAGCAGAGAACATAGGATTCGGAACAACTACTAGCAGTAGTCTCTTATGGTCCGTACAAAACTATACTAGAATATCTACCCCAAACCCTATTCGAATGATTAAGGCCCCTGTATTACACAGTACCACATGACATAAGCTGCGGTTTAGTGTTTAGGGTTCCGCGAGTTCAGTTGGCTTCTGCGGGTATGAGCCCAAAAGGCCAGCACTTTCTGGGGAGTACAAGCTTAGAGCCGCGCAATTCAAAGGTTTAGGGGTTTAGGGTTTGGGTTTAGGGTTTAGGGTTTAGGGTTTAGGGTTTAGGGTTTAGGGTTTAGGGTTTAGGGTTTAGGGTTTAGGGTTTAGGGTTTAGGGTTTAGGGTTTAGGAAAGTTCCAGCTGGAGACTTGAATGCCGCTCGGATTTTTCGGAATCAAGCCTCCGCGCTGGGGCAGGCGAGCCATCGAACCTGAGCACTCAGCCATGGACTTCATGGAATCTCGTCTGCCGCCTTTGCCACGGGCGTTTCTCACATTCAGTGAAGAGTCTTCTCCCGTTCAGAGCACCCTCCGTCGATCCCGCAGCTACTCCGGCTACACACCCTTCGAACTCAGCGACGCCAGCTGCGAGCTTGACTCGGACCCCTGTGCCGGACTTGCGGAGCTGTGTCCTCCGGACACCGACGATGAGGAAACAGTCCAGTGGGTTGGGTTGAGGCTTCCTTCCTCTGCGGGGGGGGGGGGGTATCAGATGCACATCCGCAAACCAGCGCCACCACTATGATGATCAACCGGTTGCCAAGGCTCATGACACAGCACGACCTCATGGAGCAGTTGAACCGCTTCGGCTTCCAGCACTTCTATGACTTCTGCTACGTGCCGTACACCTTCGACTGCAAGCAACACAAAGGCTACGCCTTTGTAAACTTCGTCAACCCCGTGATCGCTCATGTATTTCAAAGTTCGTGGCACAAGCGCGTGCTCACCACCTCGGCGGGGGATTCAGGTAAAGTCGTCATCGGCCCCTCGGGGGTGCAGGGCCTGCAGGCCAACGTGAGAAAGTGGTGTGGGCCTCGCACGCAGCACATCCGCAACCCGAACCTGCAGCCGTTTGTGCTTTCAAAGGCGATGAGCGCGACCTCATCCAAGCAGGTGATGAAAGCCCAGCGTGCTGGGGCGGTTGCCCTGCGGAAGGCCAGGGCCATGATGCCTGATGTGAGTCCGGAGTGGCTGTCTTCTCACAGGTCGACCTCCATGCAGCCCTAAACCCAAAACCCTAAACCTACTAAACCCTAAACCCTAAACCCTAAACCCAAAACCCATGCTCTTGGGCCTGGTGCGGCATGAGGGCTCGATGCATCATTGACCTGCCTTGACAGGGAAGAAGATGTTTAACCAACACTCTTTGTGGCCTTTTGGTCGAGGGGCAGCCTTATCCAACCTTTCGACAGAACTTTGCAGAGCCTGATAAAGAAGCTTTCAGGACCAATAAAAAGGACACGCCGCGAAGCCTTACAATGTGGTTCACTGATGAGGTTCACAAGTTTTCAAAGATACGAGTACCCTGCAGAACCACCCGAACAAGTGCAAAAAACATATAATATGTATATGCAAGAGCATGTATATGTATGTGTATGTGTATGTGTATGTGTATATGTATATGTATATGTATATGTACATGCATATGTTTATATATATATATATGTATATATAAGCTGCGTGCTGCCCGATCAAAAGACGTCCGCGCCGCAGAAGTCTTGGGCAGATTGCAGAATCCTTGGCGCCCTTGGTAGGGGAGGACATTGCTTTAGATTTCCATAGATTCAAGAGCAAGACGCGGAGGATAGGGGTTCTAAAATAGGCACACCCCGCGAAAATAGACACCTGGAGGCCTTGGAAGGTGACAGTTGCATTTGCGAGGGAGTGTGCCTGCAGGCAGCTGCGTGAGGGGGGGGGGGGGGGGGCTTGTGCGTGCGTGTGGAAGTCTGCGTGCAGCTGCTCGGCGAAGCATCTACGTGCGCGCGAGGCGGTGTGCGTGCACGGCGGAGCGTGTGCGTGTGCGCAGCGGTGTTGCGCGTAGGGCAGGTATGCGGTGAAGCGTGTGCTTGCGGGCGGTGTGCAGCTGCGGGGAATTACATGAGTACCAATGTACGCGCGCCGTTCCACACTGTGCGCAGGTGCACGGCCCGCAAATAGACATCATTAGATTAGCGTTGCCTGATGTACATGTGTGGCCAGTATCTAATCTAATGAGCTTAAGGCAGCACGAGGCGGGAAGAAGGTGACACGTTCGTTCTTGCGAGGAGTGTGTGCAAACCACCGGATGTGCACAGCGGCGCACGCGCGAACGCACACGCGTGCAGCTGTCACCAGCTTGCCCAATTTTCCAGGTGGTGGTATTTTTAAATAAGAAAAAACTGAAAAAACAAGGAAAAAATCCCCGGCCCAATCTTCCATGTCACTTATCTTATGAGTCATCAGCGCCCCTTTCTGCAATCGACTCGGGGGTCTTCAATTTGTGGCGGCCCAGAAGACGAAGTAGCTGCTTGAGGAAACGCCTTGTGGCCAAAGCTACTTGGACTGCTGGGCCGTGCTGTAATATTATATTTGAAGAGGCTTAAGACACTGATGGGAACACCTCAGTGCTCTGGCCAACGCAAGCTTCCGGCACATGGGTGCTGAAATCAGGCACAACATGCAAGAAGCCGGTGTTTAAATTCAATGAAGACACTGCTCGCTTTGAAGCCTGTGGCTGCGGAGAACCAACTGCAGCCGGTTTCAAGGCGACTTTTGGGGGAGGCTTACGAGAGCCCCGATAGAACCGTGCAGAACCTGACGCATAGCAGAGCCGGTCGATCATAGGCCAATAATTCATAGTATTTGCTGAAGAGCTTGGGAATCCATCGAGCAATTTCTCCAAGCATGGTAGGATATTGGGAGGTCGGACAGTTTGCCCCCCCAAGCAGCTCAAGGCCCGCCAACGGGAAATGCTGATCCGCAACCTGTTTACTTGTACAGCGTATTGTGGGTGCGAGAAGACTGCAGGCACAGTGCATGCGCACGTTTAGTGCGTCCTCGTACGGAGGTACTGCCAGTAGCCGCCAGTGGGCGAGACAAGCTCTCAGGGAGTTTTAGCGGTTCTGCGATGCAGCTGCGTAGTGGTGGGATGTGGTGGGAGCTTGGTGTCTTTGGCAGATCGCTGGCGGTTGTTGCGACCACGACAGAGTCGCAGCATCTGAAGTCCTAGTTGCTAAGAGCTGTTTAGGCTCAGGAGGGTGGGATGATAACACGAGATCGAGGCTCAGATGACCTCATTGACTTGAAAATCTGCCAACTTGTGTCAGGACTGGTGTTCAATGTTCCAAAGTTGTGCGTTCTCTCAGACATACCTGTTGTAATAGAGAGAGGTGCCCCTGGAACCACTCCTGAAAAGGAGGGTTTAGGGTTTAAAGTGTAGGCTAGCTTCGTACATGTTGATGTCCGAACCTTGAACCGACAATAGTTGATTCCTGATGTTCTGGCACCTCGCTGCCAGTCTTCTTGTGTTCGGCTGCATGCAAGCAAGCTGCTTTTTGTTGCTAGAGTCCGTCATTTTTGTGGTGTTAGGGTTGACGAATGTTAGATTTGAGATCTTGAGGGTTTAGGGAAGGTTTCGGGTTTAGTGTTAGAGTTGAGGGGACAGATATACTTAGTACTCCATACCTCGCAGCGTGTCCTGGGCAGCTCGACATGTGCGTTGGGGGTACTCTAAGAGGCGCATGGGGCGTGTGGCAGATCCCTTGCTCTTAGGGTTTAGCGTTTAGGGTTTAGGGTTTAGGGTTTAGGGTTTAGGGTTTAGGGTTTAGGGTTTAGTCGAGCTTCGCTGAGCATAGCAAGGGGGGGGGGGGGGGCGATGCTCAAGTTAGGAGATTTAGGGTTTAGGGTTTGGGGTTTAAGGTTTAGGGTTTAGGGTTTGTGTTTGTTGTCTTTGTGGCCAGGGAGGTGTTCATTCTCATAAGAACAGCAATATTCATCACCCTCGTGAATCTGAGGGTTTCCGAAAACAGGGGTACCTTATTGGGGTCCTTACTATACGGGTTAATCCTACTCTAGGGCTTGCATCTTCGGGTTCAGGGGTTTGGGGTTTGGGGTTTAGGGTTTAGGCATAGCCGCCTCCCAGCAAAAGGAATCTGACCAGCGTCATCGTCAACCGGCCCTCCAACGGCCTGACGCTTGCCTGCATTTCGGGTTGCGCTCGGATTCGCCTCTCAAGTTCCAGAGGGAGAGGGGGGTTCAAGGGGGGGCAGTAACCCAAGGTTCCCACTCCCCACTGTTCCCTAAGGCTCCCCAAGCTTCCCTAAGGTTCCCTAGGGTACCTACCCCTGAAGAACCCCCCCAACCTTAAACCCTAAACCCTAAACCTTAAACCCTAAACCCTAAACCCTAAACCTTAAACCCTGAGAGTCCCTCAAGAACCCTATAATCACAAAGAGCTCGGATTGTCCGATGCAGGACCTAGACCGGAAAATCTGCGCACTAAGGGAGAAGCCGCCTGGCTATCACCTGGATTCTGGGCCTTTTTGACAATCATTTTCGCTGGGTTTAGGGCTTAGGTTTAGGGTTTGCGGTTTGGGGTTTAGAGTCTAGGGTTTAGGGTTTAGGCGTTAGGCGTTTAGGGTTTAGGGTTTTGGGTAAATGTTCACTGTAGTTGGTTCTATCTGTAATCACAAAGCTATGTCCTACAGGCATGCCAAGAACCGTCAAGGACTTGTTTGTTCGAGGAGCGCTGACGCTGCCAGCCTGCGCCGTGTGACTTGACTCATCTGCAGGGATACCGAGTTTGGGGTTTAGGGTTTAGGGTTTAGGATTTAGGGTTTAGGGATTCCGAGACTAGGGTTTAGATGCCCTGTGTTAGGTTGCATTTGCAGTTCATACTCGTGGGGTGGGGCTCGGAAGGTGCGAGCCCCTCCTAGCTTTAGGAGACTTTGCGGTGGGAGAAACGAGGCTTTCTCTCATGCCCTAATCCATCAAAACCCCTAAGCCCTAAGCCCTAAGCCCTAAGCCCTAAGCCCTAAGCCCTAAACCCTAAACCCTAAACCCTAAACCCCGCTCCTACCTCTTTTTCTGGCTGTTTCGCGGCTTCACACAGGAGCCCTAGCAGCTTTCACTCGTTCTGCGCAAAAGCGGAACTCTAGCAGCTCCAGACAGTCCTATCCCTGAAATGCCATTCTCCGGAGCCTTTGCATGTTCTGATGGTTTCGAAAGCCCTAAACCCTAAACCCTAAACCCTAAACCCTAAACCCTAAACCCTAAACCCTAAACCCTAAACCCTAAACCCTAAACCCTAAACCCTAAACCCTAAACCCTAAACCCTAAACCCTAAACCCTAAACCTAACCCTAAACCCTAAACCCTAAACCCTAAACCCTAAACCCTAAACCCTAAACCCTAAACCCTAAACCCTAAACCCTAAACCCTAAACCCTAAACCCTAAACCCTAAACCCTAAACCCTAAACCCTAAACCCTAAACCCAAACCCTAAACTCTAAACCTGAACCATCCAACAGGCTCGGCCTCCCTCTGTCCGTGGCCTCCACTGTGCCCAGCATCACGCACGTGATCTCCCTGACCACCTATGAGGTGAGCTCGGGGTTCTTGGGGGTTAGGGTCTGGGGTTCAGGGTTCAGGGTTCAGGGTTCAGGGTGTAGGGTTTAGGGTTTAGGGTTTAGGGTTTTGGGCTAGGGTCTAGGGTTTAGGGTTGGAGGTCTTTTGGTGGTTTCAGGTGGGCTCTGGGAGAATCGGGTAGCGCAGGCTTGCAGGGTTCGGAGCTTCGCGAAGGGAACCTCCAGGGCTCGGCGGTTTGGGGTTCAGGGTTTGGGGTTTAGGCTTTAGGGTTTGGGGTTTGGGGTTTAGGGTTTAGGGTTTGGGGTTTAGGGTTTAGGGTTTGAGGTTTAGGGTTTATGGGTAGGGCTTTAGGGTTTAGGGTTTTGGGGTATAGGGTTTAGGGTTTAGGGTTTAGGGTTTAGGGTGCAGGGTTTGGGGTTCAGGGTTTGGGGTTTAGGGTTCAGGGTACAATCAGGGAGCATATTCTGGACGTCTCAGATGCTTTGTTCATCGCAGTATGTGACCTGCCTGGCCGGCTCGTTTCGTGTTTGCAGCCCTTGACCCTCTTTCGTCATTGCTCTTCCGCCTGGGAGATGCCCAGGGTTTAGGGTTTAGGGTTTAGGGTTCAGGGTTCAGGGTTTAGAAGCTCTCCTAACCGCAATCGAGGGATGGAAGGAGGTCTAGAATGCCTATGCCTTGCTCGAAGTTGCCGCCGAAGTGCATAGAACCGAAGCCTCATAGCCCCTGACTGCAGTTAACCCTAAACCCTAAACCCTAAACCCTAAACCCTAAACCCTAAACCCTAAACCCTAAACCCTAAACCCTAAACCCTAAACCCTAAACCCTAAACCCTAAACCCTAAACCCTAAACCCTGAACTTGATCTCCCAAATCCGTTTAAACTAAAGCACTCCATAGGGCCTCTACGACCCCTGAACTCACGCTAAACCTGAGAACGCTAGAAGAGCCCTAGTTCCCAAAATTGGACCACTACTTAAGTGGGGCCACCTACTTTCTCCATGTTGCGTAGTTGCCATTGTTACTAGTTAGGAAACATGTCTTTCCAGAGTATAGATCACACGACTGCACACAGGGTTGCGGATAAGGGGTCCTTAACCCAACCTTTAACCCTAAATCCTAAAGGCTTTGGAAAGCTGATACATGCTGGCACTCTACGCAACCACCTCTCCAAGGTCAAGCAGCTGCCGCAGGGTGAGCGCAAGGTGCCGACCAAGGCAAGCGGGGAATGAATGCAGGACCCGACATAATTGCCAGTATCGGTGTAAAGCCTAGATAAACCCTAAACCCTAAACCCTAAACCCTAAACCCTAAACCCTAAACCCTAAAGCCTAAAGCCTAAAGCCTAAAGCCTAAAGCCTAAAGCCTAAAGCCTAAAGCCTAAAGCCTAAAGCCTAAAGCCTAAAACCTAAACCCCCGTGAATCCCCATGCCCTAGATGGTTTCCGACATCAGGGCACCCCTTACATAAATTTCCCCTCCCCCGCCACTCCCCTGCCCCCAATATATTCATATTCTGCTAGTCAAAGCTACCCATTCTATGTAGGCCCGCCATGAAATCGAGGTTGGGTCAGTGAGACGTGGGCTTAGGGTGGTTGCGGCTGAGGTTGGGGGTTGAGGTTTTGGGGTTGAGGGTTTGGGGTTTAGGGTTTAGGGTTTAGGGTTGAGGGTTTAGGGTTTAGGGTTTAGGGCTTGGGATGTAGGGCGTAGGTTGCAGCGTTTGGGACGGGTCCGTGGGTGCAGCTGCGATGTCCTGCAGGGTTTAGGGTTTAGGGTTTTGGGTTTAGGGTTTAGGGTTTGCCCGATTTCCTTGAGAAGTCCAGGGTGAGATTGAAAATCTTACTCTCGTATAGGGGCTAGGGAAGTAGAAGCCCTAGACCCGAATCCCCAAACCCAAGCCATAAACCCTAAACGCTAAACGCTAAACCCTAAACCCTAAACCCTAAACCCTAAACCCTAAACCCTAAACCCTAACCCTAAACCCTAAACCCTAAACCCTGAACCCTAAACCCCAAACCCTGAACCTGAAACTCAAATCTCGGGTCCGAGCTCTTTGGTGCCCGCAAGGTGGTGGAGCAGCGGGCTACGAACTTCCTGCCCCTGGGCCCGTGCTGAGAAATCCAGGTTCATAGGAATTGAGGGCTCGCAGAGTTGAGGGTTGAGGGTTTCGGGTTTAGGGTTTGGGGTTTAGGGTTTAGGGTTTAGGGTTTCGGGTTTAGGGCTTGAGGTTTCGGGTTGTTGGATGTTGGGGGAGGTTTGTAGGGCTTATGGGCTGAGGGCCACTTCGCCTCCCAGGAGGGAGTTTCCGATTTACGATTGCTTCCGTGAAGGGTTTAGGGTTTAGGGTTTAGGGTTTAGGGTTTAGGGTTTAGGGTTTAGGGCTTAGGGTTTAGGGTTTAGGGTTTAGGGTTTAGGGTTTGGGGTTTAGGGTTTAGGGTTTGGGGTTTAGGGTTTGGGGTTTGGGGTTTGGGGTCGAGTTTGTTCACGACTTAAGTAAGTTAGAGCTCAGGGCAGAAACGGACTTGACCTGGACACTGCACCTACTCACCCAAACCTAGCCCGAAATCCTACGCTCTACAACCTGCGCTAAAACCCTGAAGCCCTCAAAGCCTCAGGGTAGTTGCATGGTCTCTTTAGCCCTTATATACCCCTTATAGACCCTACAGAACCCAAGGGCCCATACATCAGAACCCTTTAAAGGAGGTTAGAGACCATACTAAGGGCCCATAAAACTACCCTCAGACAAGGCCTCAGGCCCTGAGTCAGACAGGGTGAAGATGCCAAGGCTTCTGGTTGCTTGCAGTTGCGGTTGAACTTTGCGGGGAACTTGGGAAATCAGGCCCCTGTGCAACCTTGGGTTAATCCCTGATAAGACTCAAAGAATTGTCCCCATTCAAGGGATATTGGCGTCGCTGGGTGTTCTCTGCGTGTCTAAGGATCCACGTGCTCATTGGCTGCGCCTTGTTCATGGCACCGGTTCTGCAACTTGGACTCAGCTTGCGAACGGACCGTTCTATCACTTTGGCAAGGGATTCTCTTAAACCCTAAATCCTAAACCCTAAACCCTAAACCCTAAACCCTAAACCCTAAACCCTAAACCCTAAACCCTAAACCCTAAACCCTAAACCCTAAACCCTAAACCCTAAACCCTAAACCCTAAACCCTAAACCCTAAACCCTAAACCCTAAAAACCCTAAACCCTAAACCCTAAACCCTAAACCCTAAACCCTAAACCCTAAACCCTAAACCCTAAACCCTAAACCCTAAACCCTAAACCCTAAACCCTAAACCCTAAACCCTAAACCCTAAACCCTAAACCCTCAACCCTAAACCCTAAACCCTAGGCTAAAACCAGCTGAAACCTCCAAGAGGGAAGGGCCTACACTTGTGCCCACGAACAGCTGAATATTGGCCTGCCGTTAAGGCCTATCTGCCACATTGCCAAAGCCGCCTTGAGTCCGGCCCTAAACCCTAAAATAAGAAAAAAAACCTAAACCCTAAACCCTAAATCCTAAACCCTCAACCCTAAACCCTAAACCCTAAGCCCTAAACCCTAAACCCTAAATCCTAAACCCTACACCCTAAACCCTAAAAAGCTGCTCGTGCCCAGGAAGTTCCTTCCCCGAGCCGTCCTCCAGGGCGTCTTCTTCTACATGGGCATCGCTTCCTTGACCGGTAACAACCTCTTCGACCGCATGCCCCTCGCACAAGCATCCTAAACCCTAAGCCCTAAACCCTAAACCCTAAACCTTAAACCCTAAACCCTACACCCTAAACCCTAAGCCCTAAGCCCTAGACCCTAAACCCTAAACCCTAAACCCTACACCCTATCTGCAGCGGGCGCAATCCAGGCACTTCATGTTCGGAGTGGAGCGGTTCGGCTGGGCTTCTGTGTGCGTCTGCAGAATCGAACGAAACACATCTCTGCGCTTGAGTCCGAATCCCTAAGGCCTCAACCCCAAACCCTCTGCCAAAGGTGTCGGGCACCAGACTCCGTGTCAAACGAAGCCCTAAACCCTAAACCAAACCCCAAACCCGAAACAAAGAACCCTAAACCCTAAACCCTAAACCCCAAACCCCAAACCCTAAACCCTAAACCCTAAACCCTAAACCCTAAACCCTAAACCCTAAACCCTAAACCCTCAACCCTAAACCCTAAACCCTAAACCCTAAACCCTAAACCCTAAACCCTAAACCCTAAACCCTAAACCCTCTGCGCTTGAGCCCGAATCCCTAAGGCCTCAACCCCAAACCCTCTGCCAAAGATGTCGGGCACCAGACTCCGTGTCAAATGAAGCCCTAAACCCTAAACCAAACCCCAAAACCCTAAACAATAAGCCCTAAGCCCTAAGCCCTAAGCCCTAAGCCCTAAGCCCTAAGCCCTAAGCCCTAAGCCCTAAGCCCTAAGCCCTAAGCCCTAAGCCCTAAGCCCTAAGCCCTAAGCCCTAAACCCTAAACCCTAAGCCCCTGAACCCTAAACCCTAAACCCTAAACCCTAAACCCTAAACCCTAAACCCTAAACCCTAAACCCTAAACCCTAAACCCTAAACCCTAAACCCTAAACCCTAAAGCCTAAACCCTAAACCCTACCCTAAACCACAGAACCCCAGCACCCTGGACTCCAAAACCCAGAACCGGGGTGCCCTGGGAGGTTGAAACGCTGACCCTCTTTCTTTTTCGTAGGTTGCCTGAGAGTACCATAAAGGAGTCTTTTGGCACCTACAGGAACCTACAGAATAATAGGGCTTGGGGTTTAGGGTTCAGGGGGTTTGGGGTTTAGGGTTTAGGGCCGGCTCTATAGGCTAGAGCCTAGAGCCATGATCTTGGGCCCTGCCTGATTTCTTCGAAGTCAGACGTTCCAGGTTCCTGTGGTTGATCTGGGACCCGGCCAAGTACCCCCAGTACCACTACATCCAGAAGCTGCCCATCAGAAGGGTCCACCTCTACACCTTCGTGCAGGCCCCGCGTCTGAAGCAGCGGAAAGGAGTCTCTCTCTGTTGAACAAGAACAAAAAAACACAAGAAGAGAAACAAAAACAAACGGAACGAAAACAAAATAAACAGGCTCAGCTGAAAAGTAGCCTCCGGCCTTTTCTAGCAGGCTTCTTGGCCTCCATCGCGTAGGTGTGCGTAAGGCTTGCGTAGTTTTCTTTAGGGTTTAGGGTTTAGGGTTCAGGGTTTAGGGTTGGGGTTTAGGGTTTAGGGTTTAGGGTTTAGGGTTTAAGGTTTAGGGTTTAGGGTTTAGGGTTTAGGTGTGCGTAGGCAGCCGTCGGGAGCGTCGCGTTCTTCTGCAGGTTGGAGGGCGCGCCTCCTAAGCCCAAGAAGCCCCCGGCTTGCGCAAGAACGAACCTGTTTAGGGTTTGGGGTTTAGGGTTTAGGGTTTAGGGTTTAGGGTTTAGGGTTTAGGGTTTAGGGAGGACCCAGAGTAGGCCCTTATTCCCTTTTTTTGAGGGTTTAGGTTTCCTTTTGAGCCCCTTTTGCTCTTGGGTCTAGGAATGGTCCAATAAACCGCAGGGTTTAGGGTTTAGGGTTAACCCTAAACCCTAAACCCTAAACCCTAAACCCTAAACCCTAAACCCTAAACCCTAAACCCTAATCCCTAGGGTTTCCCCAAACCCTAAACCCTAAAGCCTAAACCCGAAACCCTAAACCCTATACCCTAGTAGCTCGAACCCCAAAACCCAAAAGCCTCTGGAGTTCATCTGCCTCGCGATCCTCTACGGTCTTAAAGAGATCAAGGACCCGTCCGACTTTAGGTTTAGGGTTTAGGGTTTAGGGTTTAGGGTTTAGGGTTTAGGGTTTAGGGTACGGGGGGACAACCAAGGAAGGAAATCAACTCCCCTAATCGCCCTGAACTTATATTTCCCAGATCGAACCAAGAAACAACCAAGAACACGGATAAGAGCAACAAGGAAGGGGCACCCTTACACAAGTAGAGGGGCACTAACCCAACCCTCACTCCCAAACACGGACTTTTTTCTTTGGACGGGCTGGCCATCCTTGAGCCAAACATAGTTTACGGGTTCATTAACCCTTTCAACTTCCAACACTAACTCCTTTCTACAATACCAATTGCAGCTCCGCACTCCCCCTGTCCTAGGATTTCCTAGGACACATTGGAGATGCAGGTCTTTTGGCCAAAAACTGCCATTAAGGCAGCAGCCAGCTGCTTGAAATGCAAGTTGTGGTTTAACGTCTTCCAGGACGGAATTATAGCACATTGGCTAACCTACTACCCATAGAGAATCTTTTTTCACCATGATCCTCTCATCACTGAAGACTCCTTGGCCTTCTTCACCACAAACCGTGGTCTTCGCTACGCGAAAAGCTACTTACTTCTACTATCAGGGATTTCCATACCCTTAATAGTAACCACCACATTGTCAGCACATTGGCTGTTCCAGCGCACCCGTCTCCAGAAAGAGAAAAACTATCCCTTCATCCATACCATCCAATCACTTCTTTTTCCGATTGTTGGCAATCTTGAGGTGAAGTTGCAGCAGAATATACTCCAGGTCCGAAACTGTAAGAACAGGATCCTGTACGCCCCTTTGAATTGAGGATACCAATCCTTCTCTCTTTGCGTCCTCAATCGCCTGGCAAGATTGACCCAGCTCTTCATTCGCAGTGGCAGACCCTGGTGCATCCGCATCAGATGGACGATCCTTTTCTTCAGGATCTTGAACCATTACCACCTCTTCTTTTTTGGGACTCTGACTTTTCTCCCTCTTCTTTGTCTTTCCACCGACATTTGACTTTGTGCGCGTCTTCGAGGATTTTTCCACTGCAGAAGCCACCACATTGGATGTTGATCCACCCTTCTCAATGATCGTCGGCATCTTCTTCGGCTTTGGAACCATGAGAGTGTAAGGATCTTCAATAGCTGCAGCTTTCCTCTTCTTTTTTACCTTTTTCTTCTCTTCTTCAACGGCAACCTCCGTCTCCGAAGTCTCAACCACTCCTGTTTCGGCAGGAATATCCTTGCTGGACTCCCTTTCTAGGGATCTCTTTTTACCTCTTTTGGGATCCTTTTCCTCTCCCAAATTGGCTCGCTCATACCATATCCTCAGGTCATTGACCCATTCTTCCACCTCCGCGAGCGAAACCTCATACGACTTCACTACTTCGAGAAGTTCCAGCACGGACAACATTTCAGTGGTCCACGAAACCCATACTTGATCCATTTGGTCAGCATCTCCAGTGAACTTCAGGAGTTTGAACAATGGGTCCGCCTCTGCTCGAGCCAAATCTGGCTTGCCACCGGAGAGAAATGAAATCGCCTCCATCAACAGTTCCGTCATCTTGGTCTCTTCGTCATAAACCATAAAATCCTCCTCATCATCATCGAACTGTTCAGGAGAGATCTCCTTTTCTCCACCATTTGCACCAGACTTTTTCCTTGGACCATCCCTTGGGGGCGTCCTTGGAGACCTTGGCCTCTGTTTTTCCAACGGAACACCATGCTCGAAGACACACCTGTCACCAAATCGACACTTCCCAGACCGAGCAAACTGGACGCACCTCACACCAGTTGCATCATGCGAGAACTCACAATCCTTTCCAGCGAAACATTCTCTCCCTGCCACATAGTATTTGCACCAATATGAATGTAGCACCACATCATCTTCGGAATGGATGAATTTGCAGTCGTCACCGAATTTGCAGCGATCTTTCCCCCTGCCGAACCAATAGCAGAAACCCTTCTTCCTTTTCTCCAAGCGCTCTGCCTCATACCGGTCCATAGGGCGATTGTGCTCTACATGAACATTGCCATGTACCTGGGGACTGCTCCCTTCACCCGACGTGCTATCAGTATTTGGTGCTTGGAGTACAGCTGGAAAACCCGGCCTTGGTCCTACCACCTTCATGATCGGTTTTCCGCCAACTCCTGAGCCATGCTGAGACGATCCAAAAACATTGAACATCTTCATGAAGGCCTTTCTAGTGCCAATCTTCTGCACCCTTTTGATTGGACGTTTCATTGCTCCAACCTTGCATCCAGATGCGTTCAAACGACACAACCTCCTATAACCAACTCTATGTCCCTTCTTCCAAAGAGCCATAAGAATTTTAGAGGCAGTAACATTCTCCACCTCTACCTTTTCCAATGGTCCCTCACTTCCCGGAACAAACCCATCCATATCTGAAGACCTTTCCATCTTTTTTGACACCACTTCGTCGAGGTAGTCTTCTGAGATCCAGGGTAAGTTCCCCTTAGAGGAAGGATTGTCATCATTGTTTGGTCCTTCACCAGGATACCCTTTTGTGCTGTCAAAGATCTTACCAGTAGTGCGGTCCTGCATAGAGAAATTCGAAGCCACGCGGGAGTACACTGACCACAAGAAAATCCTTGTGTCCGCCAGTCTTGATGACCCACTGGATGTCTCCTCTTCCGGAGAAACTTCTGGCGCTTTGCCATCCCCTCCAGTGTCACCACTTATCTCACCTCCAGCATCTTCAATGGGAATAAGGGATTCATTGTTCCCTTGATCAAGCACCGCGCCCTCTGGTCCAAAAACTTCCAGCACCGCTGTCGAAGGATCCACCTCTTCATCAGCATCGTCGTCCATCCTTCTCCAGAGAGCCTCCAATTGGTCCGCACAAGTCGCCGCTTGAAGGAACTCCATCAACCGAGCCCTCCCGCGCTGCCAGAGAAATTCCGAAATCATCACCGACCCTTGGGCTCCCAGATTCAGGAATGGGTGAACCATTTTGGCTACCCTCGCCATAAGTTCAATATGAACTTCCATGCCTGGACTGCGGCTCCAATCGTAGGCAATTGCCTCCATAGCAGTTCCAAACTTGTCAGTGTTCTTGAATTCCCCTTCCAGACCAGGAGACAACAAAGCACCCATCACTGAAAGAGGATAATTCCCCACCGCCGGCAAGCACGGGTTTTCATGGAACGAATGATGCAGGTCAGTATAATGTCCTTGATCTCTCCTTTGAAAAAGGAGTGCTCCAGTCCCTAGCTGGGCATTCATTTCATCCACTTGAACCATTTCAGCACATATCCTCTGTGCCATGTACGCCATTGCTGGCCAGACGGAACGATCGGTCAGACCGCGACGCGACGCATAACCCAATCAGTTGTTGGCGACTGAATCAGCGTCCTTGGATCATACACCAGAACAACCATCGCACCGTCACCCATTGACTGATCAGCGTCGTCCTCCAGTGCCAGGTTCTCATCCTGTTCGCTTGCACCCTCGGATGACATGCTAATAACCAAATTTCGATCCATCTTATTGGACCCTTTTTGGCAGTCTCTTTGCCCCACCGGCAACTTGCCAACTGCAACCTTCCAATAAATCCGAGTCAGAAGGCCTTTAACCAGCAATTGCTGAAGGTCACTCCTCACCGGACCACCATCCAACATCTTCGCATCATCACCACGGAGGTCATTGCTCCCACCTTCTCCTTCTTTTTGGTCAGTCTCCTCGCCAGAAATCTGTACTGCTCCTTCCGGCGCCGTCTCCTGTCCAGCCACTTCTTGCCCAGGAAGAACTTGAGCGCTTTCAGAGACATTCACCTGTCCAGCAACACCTTGCCCAGGTAAAACCTCATCCGTGGAGCCCACCGCCAGCGAACCAACCATAACTGAACCATCCCTTGCTCTTTTTTGAGACCGTTCAGCTCGACGAGAAGGTTGTGGTAGCGAAAAAACTTGTGAAGTCACTTCTTGGCGGGTCTCCCCCCGCGACGCTTTGTCGCGCCCTTCGCCAAGGTGAACCGATTTTTTCGGCCCGTCATTGGAGCCTGAAGAACCACTTTGCGGAACATTGCCACGATTCGCAGTTCTCTGTGAATCCCTTTCTTGCAAAAAGATTTCCTTCAGGCGTTGTACGGCATTGGTCTCCTCTTCGCTTGAATCGCTTGAGGAAGCGGCATACGAGACCAAAGCCTCCGCCTGTTCATCATCATCCACCACATCTGCCCACGCTCTGCTGAACCGATACGACAACCCACCACGAGGCTTCAGTTCCAGTGGCTTCGGCTTTT